CAGACACACCTTCCGGCATCTTCAAGTTAAATAACTTTTTCATCAGATGCACCTTCTTACTTGTCGATGACTTTTCATACATACCAGATAAAGCCGCCATGAGATCTGTAGTAGTCCTTTCCTTGATGACGTTGTGGGCAACCGATCTCGACAGGATTAATCGTATATCCCCCAGAACCTGTCGATCCAACAAATTTCATTCTACTTCGTCCATCTTTTCTGGTCGCTTTCCCAGTAACGGAAGATGAAGTTTCTTCCCATAGAGGTAGTCCTCTATCTGCATCCTCCAGTAAGCAAAATATGTGTCATTGAACTTCTCGATCTCCGATGTCATCACTTTGTCTCCGCTAATTGTTCTTCCTTAGATTCGTACCCAAACTCTGATACCAGTTGTGAAAAACGACGACAATAAAGTGAAAAATTGGAACGATAAAAATTGCACGCAGAAAAAAAAACTAAAGCGACACAGATTTACGTGGTTCGACAAATTTGCCTACGTCCACGGAGCTGCAGAGGATTTTTTTTTGAGGAATTACACCATCGAGCGCCTCGACGTTTACAAGAAAATCTCTATTTTCTTCTTTCCCTTCCTCTCTCTTTCTCTCTCTCTCTTAACTCTCAAGAGGACTTGACTTGGTCTTGCTTGATATGACTTCTCCTTTAAGCCAAAAGAGTCTATTTATAAAAACCATCAGAGCGGTAGGTGGGAGGTAGGTGAGCGGTAGGTGAGAAAGTAGGTGAGCGGTAGGTGAGATTCTTAATCAGGAAGCTAATTAAATTTCGGTAGATCGGGTCTCCACATTACCCAACAGGAAAACTTTTCCTCTCATTTTGCTCTCACAAAAGACTATCTTCCCCTTTTCTTCTCTCTCATTTTAAGAGATGTCCCTCTCCAATCTCTCCTTTCCTTGCCGCCTCCACGCAGTAAATTCATAGCAACAAAAATCCCCTTCCTCCTTTCAGAACGACACCCGAGCACGCACCAGATGTGACTCCGCTTGATTTGCAAAGTAGAAGCTTTTGTCCGTCCAATACCCATTCACCCAACCTACACTGAGCACCCACTCCAAGTTCTTCCTGCACATATGTTTGCATATCCCTTCATTTGCCCAAGCTCCAACAACTACAACCATCCCCACTGACATGTCACTGAGCTGAAAGCCAAAGTGCTTAAGTTTTCTTCTTCAATTATACACACAGAAATTACAAGGCGAAGGCCCGCCCAATTGGTTCTCCAAACTTCAAGCTTTGTCACCACATTGAATCACTTGCACGTTTGTATGCATCTAGTGAATTGTTCTGTGAGCCTATATTAAATAATAACAATACATTTGCTTAGCATACTTAAGATCGTATATAAAATCAACAATCTAACAAAGATATTGATACACGCTTGTAGCATTGGTCATTTGCTTGCCATATGTTCGTTATGCTCGAGATTTAGATTTTCATAACATCTCAAATGATATTATGATTTTGCACTTAAATATACTTGTGTAATGTGAGCAAAACTCTTATTATCATTATATATTATTTATATTTGTTTTACAAGGAATGTTAAGGAAACCAACTTTATAACATTTATTTTTACAATTAACACTAGGGTGGCAAGTGTATAAAATAAAATTTTAGGATCTTACACTTTCTTGTTTTATATCGATCATTATCACACAATCCTATGATCAATATCACCTAGGATCGGCACATATCACTCACTCATAGACTAGGCATATTAGAAAAACAAAATAAGCCCTATTATAGGAGTCCAATAATAGTTGTGATTAAGCACAAGGGCCCATCATGATGGACATTTTACTTGCCAGTTTCTAACATTGTTGATGCCTATACATGTCATGCCCTTGTGAGTTTGCATGTAGTCTATGATCCCCTCAAAAATAGAGAACCTAGATAGACTCAATCCCTCAGTTAGATTAGCTCCATTTAGTCATTTTAGGGTGTCTTACCTTCTGCTTCTTTCTATATCTAACCGACCCTGTCTATTTACACACGTGACTACATGATTAGGCATTGCTAACCTATACAAAATGTAAGTTCATACTTCTATCTTCTTTATCATCTTGAGAAGATAGATTAGGCGTTTTTGGTCTAATGCTATCAAGTTTTAAGTCTCAATATTTAACATCTTTTCCACGATACAACACGTGCGTCGGTCGTCTTTCTAAGCCCACATATGTGCTTCCATATTTGCACAATTTACCCCTTGATTCCTCTCGTTTGCAGCCTGCTTAACTTTGTGGATCTCAATTCACAATTATTTGGCAATTTATTGCACTGACTGCAAAATCAAATGAGCTATCCCACCACTTTGTCCTATAGGACTATGCAGTGTACCCCCCAAAGCCTCACCTAAACCAGAAACACTGCTCACCGGGCTCCATGTCTCTCAACCACCCACATATGTGCTTCCATATTTGCACAATTTACCCCTTGATTCCTCTCGTTTGCAACCTGCTTAACTTTGTGGATCTCAATTCACAATTATTTGGCAATTTATTGCACTGCTTGCAAAATCAAATGAGCTATCACACCACTTTGTCCTATAGGATTATGCAGTGTACCCCCCAAAGTCTCACCTAAACTTGAAACACTGTTCACCGGGCTCCATGTCTCTCAACCACCCACTTGAACTTGCTTTTCTCCACATGTTCCAAACCACATCAATCCTATCGCACATCAATAGTCAAAATTTTCTCTTTCCTGTCAACATAGCTAATCCATCTTGCCATTGACCTTCGAGATTCATCTTGTTGATGGGCAACAGAAGGACAACATAATTGATGTTTATTTTCTATCATCCAATAAAACCATTGACCCCAAAATCATGTTGTCGCCACAATGATGCACTAATCAACAATAACTCTTAAATAGGAATCTTCATTATTTTTTGAAGTTTTAGTGGCATCGTCTACATCAGCATATTATGAAGATTGGTGTTAACTTTTTGATGATGATTACTTAAGATGACCATCGTCTAGAAATCCTTGGACACATTTAATAAAGCATTTTATTGGTTATGACATGCATAAAACCAACTCAAGTACACACTTTCAAAAAGTACCATATGCCACATATTTATCATCGCTCCTTATGACGTTTATGATGATATATCTCTAACTTGGATAAACTTTATGATGATGGTCCTTATGAAGATGCTTATGATGACAGCATTTTAAAATGATGAACAAAATAATTAAAAGTTTATCAACATTTTGGGTTTACTGCCACGTCTGAGATTGACCCTAACATATAATTGGAAATTAAGGCATCCTAATTGAGTGTCTCAACAAAAAACACATTCAACAAGAGGGTGGGTGTTTTCTTGAAGATTTAATTGAGATTACTAATCAAGTTTCATTTTCCACTTTATCATAAGGCATACTATTTTTAATTATTATAATTTGCTTCAAATGCATTACACTACCACAATCATCATTGAATCTAGTATTAATCCACATTTTAAAATTTAACAATCTTACAAAGTTTGGAGCCATTAGAACCTAAGCCTCCAGATTTTTGAATTCTAAAACTTCTTTCACCTGTAGTTCAATGTACTATATAGAGGTTCCTTCTATCAACTGATCCAGTGATGTCATTTCCTCCACATTGATTGCCTCCTACAAAATTTATATTAAAAATCTAGGGGCATATTTGCTGGATCATTTAATTGATGTAGTAAAGACAACCGGTTTAACACGAATTAAAAAAAAATAAAATAAAAACTTACCAAAAATGAGTAGTAACATGCTACAAAGAAATAAAATTGGACTAATTTTCAGGCCCTCTTAGGCTCAACTTTGTTTTTGGCCTAAGACTGCAGAGGAAATTAAATGGAGTACTCCATATACAAAGTATGGAAAGGTGTCGATAACTTCTCCCCCCGGACCTACTCCCCACCCTACAGTAGCTAAGTGTGGAAGTAAAATCATTTAATTGTCTAGTAAATACTAAGTAAATACTAAAAACTTCCCCTTTTTATGAGTTATTTCATTGGAGTCAATTATCCTTCTTGGATAATAATAAATTTCGATTTTAAAACATTTTAGGATTGAAGAGGATTAAAATTATTTTCAAATTATGTGCATCATCCTTATAACCTTATTTCTATAAGTTATAAATATGAATCCACGCCTTTTTATCAATAATTGACTATTAATGATTATTGATGAATGGAAGTTATTTTGTAACGTCAACTGAATACTCTCTTTAGAACCAAGTCTTTCAAGTATTCTCATCTCCCCATCACAATCTCTTTTGTTTAAGCATGGGCAACTTCTTACATCTTTTTAATCCAGTTTATCCAAATTCAAGTTTAACTTTGTCGTCTTTTTTCCTATCTTCTCTACTTTTTTCACGTCACATCAAAGTGTCCAAGAGCCACTGGACCATCAATACCACACAAGTTTTCTATGATATAGGCATAGTAAATCATTTAATTTTTCCTTATATAGGCCAACACGTATAAGAATGCATCACTATAAATATTTCAAGATGACTTTGACTATGAGTTTTTCCAATAAAAAACAGATTGAATTTTAACCACATTAAAATAGGAAGATAAATATACAAAGAGTATATAAACACATGTAAATCAGTGAGTTAGGTTGATGCAAGCCGCACAATCAAGAATGTTTCAACATTTTGCAGGTAAAAGGTCAGCACACAGTAACAGTTAAAGAGTAAATTCCACTTTGCTAGGCATTAATGTATACTATTGAAATGTAAGAAAAATCAAAATTAAGAGAAGGCACATTTACATACATACTGCCAATGCCTATGTATTTACATATCTAACACCTAAACTCTACTTTCTACAATTTATAACACATAATTCAAATCACATCATGAATACCACTGTTTAAACTTTTAAAAGTTTCATGCATAGGTAAGGTGGCATACATGGAAGTTTAGTAGTTAGATATGTAAATACATAGGAATTAAGTAGTATGAATGTAAATCTTCCTGGAGAGAAAATACCATACCTCATATGCAACATCTACTTGCAAAGACGGGACCACACAATTTTGAAGTAAAATAGGGTTACTGTTAACCTGTTCCTCAAAGATACACTTATGAGATGAGCCTTCACAACTTATGTTAGCTCCTAAAACACGACTGCTACATATGGTAGAAAAACTCTGTTTCTCCACAATTTTCAAATTTTTGTCCGTTAACTTTTCACCTGCATCCTGTTTCGTTTTTGTTCTTCTTGAAAAAGTAATAAGTTGGCCACAGGAATGTTCCTTTAAAGCTCCATCATTAAGCAACACGTTATCATTGTTATCACCAACTTCTGGACATCCAGAACTGTATCCTTCTCCCTCACTAGTTAAATTCACATTCAAATTTATCGGGTTACCCATTTCATCATGAACTGCCAATGGAGTTGTTGAGCTCTCTTCAGCACATGTCCTGTAGCCAAGTCCAGTTTTTCTGCCCAAACGATCCATCAGAACAATATCTCCTATTCTACTCTGAGATCCGCATACGATGGGAGAGTTTGTCTGCACCGAGCTATTCTCAACCTTTATACTGCTCAGTACCCTGCTGGAGTGAAGTACCATAGGCACCGTATCACTTTGCTCGGTTATTTGACTTTGTGTCATTCCTTTGGTTGCTGGAACTTGTTGCTGCAAAGAGTTGGTGAATCCATATCTGCTATTGCAAGCAGAGCATTGACATTTTTCCTGTGAAAGAAGCATCGAAACAAAAAGGTGTGCAGAAATCAGTTCATCAGTTAGGACTTTAGAAGAAGTTTGCATGTTGTTAAGTAAAAGCTTAATACAATTTTGTTTTTATTGGAATCATGATGCTTTCAAGGCTCAGGAACCTTGATTAAAGGTGTCAAAAGTGTTAAAAAAGAAATAAAATAATATCCAGCTTAAATGGAGGAATTTAAGGCTGCTCTCTTCTAAATATTAAGTTCCTGAGAAATCATAATTAATGTGAAAATGCAAATTATGATTATTTGACTTTTGGAAAAAAAAAGGTACAAATGTAAAATCACATGTAAAACCTTTTCAGAAGGTCGAATGCATTGAAGATGATACATAGAAGAGCAGTTGTCACAGCCTGAAGGTCCTTACTGACATCAGAATCACCACAACTAAGGGCCTGTTTGGGGCGCCCCAAACAGACCCTAAAGCAATAAGCAGCGAAGATGGTATATAATGGAAAACACCATTTAAAAAGAATATCTATTGTTTTAAGGTCATGGACACTAAGAAAAAGGAAATACATTCATGTCCAACCAAGTTAAATTTGCACTTCCTACTAAATCTAGAAAACTTTAAAACTCAATCTACATAATATTCATCGTGAAAAAAACATTCATATAAATAGTATACTGAATGAGAGGAAAAAGGAAAATTTGAGAAAATTATTACAATCATTTGAGAAAAGCAGCTATCAAAAAGTGGCCAGAGGAATTTTTACTCATCATTCATCATCACATAACATAATAATCGTATGAAGCCAAGTTTATGAAATATATTCAAACTAAGAAATGCAATGATAGATGTCCAAAATAGTGATCTAAATGCTTAAAAATCATGAAAAACTGAAAAATGACTATGAAAGTCAACCATACTTATTAATGGTTGGAAGCTCCCACTGGACATAATTTCTTTCCCAATCCTCCATTAGATGAGCCTCAACAACACGTGAAGCAGTGGGGCTTGTTGGTGATGTTGGATATAATATAGCACACACTACTTGTAAATAGGTTTAAAGCCTTTGGGGAAAAAAAAGGAGAGAAACTATCATGCAAAGAGCTGCCTTGGAGGGGGGAGAGTTGAATGTCAAACAAAAGAGTTAGTATGGGGATCAAGCAAGCGTAATAGACTAACTCGTATTAAGAAGGTTTCACCTCATACTCCTAATGGAATGTAAATCGTACTTTAGCATAAAATAAATTGTGTAAATTTTAGAAAAACTAAAGAAAAAATTTAAAAAATAACATTTTTTATAAATTTATTATTTCAAATAAACGCTAAAAAAATGAAATATTTTAAATAGACAAAACCTCCATGTCAGCCAGTGATTTAGCCACGCCGGCGACAAAATTGCTCGCTAACTTGGCGATTTTCCTTCGCCATGTCAGCAGACAAAATCGCTTGCTGACGTTACGATTTTACTATGAAAAAAAAACCTTTTGAGAAAAGTTTTATGTTACTTATAATATATTAAAAACTTTAAATATTAAGTATATTTAACTTAGTTCGTAGAACGTAAAAAAAAAATGCAAAAAAAAAATCATGATGAGGATTAAACTCATGACCTTGTTGACCTCATTTTTTTGAGATCTTTCCTTCCTCTTCATAGAGCCTAGGATCTAGCCTTAGGATATCCCGTATTGACTCTCCTAGAAGACTAGTGTTGAGAACCACCCCTCTTAGAAATTCAAGCCACTTCTTGATTCTCTTGTGGTGTCTTGCATGAGTGATCTCAAACCATCATCAATTGATCGAATGGTTGTATTCATGGATCATCATCATTTGATCGAGTGGTTAAGGACCACCATGTGGAAACTCAGAGAGAGAGTACTCAATAGGATCTCAAGCCCTAAAGAAACTCTTTTATGACTTTATCAACACATTCACACACACAAAATCCACTAGGTTACGCAAAATCAAACTAAAATTGAACTTAAAATGTGAACTTGCACAGACGACCTCAGATGACGAAACGGATTGCGTCGATGCATCCGGGACGTTGATTTTAGCAAGGAATGACACTCATATTGCTATAATTCTGCACACAAGCAAATCACACGCAAATCGATGAATTCGTCCAAACAGCCCCAGATGACGAAATAGACTGTGCCACCTCGTCCGAAGCATCAAAATTATCTAAAAAAGACGTACAGTTTGCCATGACTTCATGCACAAGTAAAAAAATGCACGAATCAAGAATTTTAAATATTAAACATTATAAAAAAATAATAATAATAATAATAAAAGAAAGATCCTACTTAAACCCTAACTCACGCACACCGCCTCCGCATTCAGTCGACTCCCTCTTCAGCCCGAGCGAAGCCCAAGCTTTCGCGCTCCTCTTTTTCGCAAGTCGCTTGACCGAACGGCTCGCTAACCGCGAGCATTCCACCAGGCCGACCCTTCCTCTCCTCTAGACCGCCTGTTCTTTCTCCGTAAATGTGATTCTTCTTCCCTCGTCACCTTATTCGACCACCTTGAGGCTGGTAGGTGGTGTATTTTCTCTCCCTCTTTGCCTATAAAAACCTCATTTGGGGAGTCTTTTCAGGTTGGCCGAAATTTTAAGGAGAGGGGAAGTGATGCCAAAATTTTTTCTTAGGTTGTTCTTGAGTTTGCTTTGAATCTGCATCAAAATGTAACCCTCTTCCACCTTTCTTCAAGAATTTGGAGGTAAGAATCTCATTATTTCACATTCTTCTTTGATTTAGTTATAGAGAATATCATGCAGTAAGAAGTGTCTTCCTTGTTCTTCAAGAATTTGAGGTTCTTTCTTTTACTTTCTATTCTTATGAACAAATGAAATGCACATAATGATTATTGGCTCATACATTCATGTGTTTTGCAATCATATATGATTACTTTAAAATGTCTACAGCTTGGTAAACAAATTTTAGAACTTATTTAGAGATATTTGTTACTTCACACATGCATGAAAATTTGAGACAATTGTATTTAGCTATTCTCTGTTTTATATTTGAAATAGTTTGAAAAACAAAAACAGCAAACTTTCCTTCAGATTTTGAAGAGCTACAAGATTTCTTTTGCTTTATATAGCAAACTGTTTCTTCTTAACGTTGCTCTGTTTTGAAGAAATGTGACTAATTTCATTTTGTTCTTTAAAAAATGTCGTCTCAAATTCTCTTTGTTCTTACAATTTGGATTTAGAAAATTATGACTAGTTTTCTATTGGATCAAGAGAAGATTTGCGGCATGCTTATTCTTTGTTTTATAATTAAAATCTTTTGAAAGATTGCTTCTCTCAGCTTCATGATATAAGACATTCAAAATTGTTGGAATCGCATATGGAACGACAAAGTGGCTTATAAGTTGGAAATGAGGATTTGTCACTCTTTTGGTGATGCTTAATACTAGTAGCTTAGGTGTCATCTTCGTAAAATCTGAAAATGTTAGTTGACTCATTTGTAAAATCTGAAAATATTGGGTAGTTCATTTGCAAAATTCGGAAAGTTATGATGCTTCACTTTTACAAAAATCTGAAAGTTTTCATGTTAAATTTACAAAATTTGGAAAGCTTCGATGTTTTACTTTTACAAAAATCTGAGTTTTTACGTTACGTTTATAAAATTTAGAGAGCTTCGATACTTTACTTTTGCAAAAACTGAAAACTTTAAGTGTTTTATTTGAAAAACTTTAAAAGTTTACAAATACTTTGGTGCTTTACATTTGAAAAATTTGAGACTTTTCAAACTCTATTTAGAAAGTTTGGGAGAGTGGCAATGCTTTACTTTTACAAAACTTGAAAGATTTAAGTATTTTATTTGGAAAATTTTTAAGTCTTTTCGAGTCATTTTGATTTTTAAAGATTTGAAAGTCTTTGGAGCTTCTTTCTTTTGAAAATTTTAATTGTTTCATTTAAGTCTTCTTTTAAATACTAAATTAAATGTCCCAAAATGTTACTTTTACGTCATTTTAAAAATTATATTCTTATTGTCTTGAAAACTTCATATGCTCTTTTCGAGTCCAATTTGCTTGATGTTTTGAGAGTTGATTTGATTATTTGTTTTTGAAAAAATTTAAATGTTTTTAGACCGACTCACTTGCAGTTTCGCTCCTGGCTTTGCTGATTTTGTTTAAGTAAGTCGAGCTCCTCCATTTATTTGGTTTTGTTTTCATTTTTCTTGTCAATGGTTAAGTTAAAAATGAGAATTTCTGATTTAATTATTTTTAGGATTGATTCACGCCTTTAAAAGAATGGTAATTAGAAGGGAGAGAACTAAAAAAAACAATGATAATTAGTCTATTGAGATAATTGAAACCGAAGGGAAAATAGGGTAACAAATCATTCACTATTTTTTTACATAAGAAGGATAAAATTATAATTGTGATAATTGTTGAGAATTGGGATAAAGTAACAGCTTAAATGATTCAAGAGTTAGAGACATGAATTGAAAGATTGATAGTTTATCAAATAAGACCCTTAAGCATTGGTTAGACTTAAGCTCAATTGTTATAATTAGGATTGAAGCACATTTCATGAACATTTTTGGCAAAATTATAGGTTTAACAAAATTATAGGTTTACCCCCTAAGTCTTAACAGCATGATAGTGAGCTAAGTTTGATCTAAAGATGTTCGATGATTAGTTGAAAAACACTTGAAAACATAACACTTTAAAACACTTCAAGCTCAAATTAAAGTGTTGACTATAAGCTTCCTAAATTTTAGGAGCACACCCTAGAAGAGTGTTCATTTACCTGATTTTCAAATGGACACTGAAGCTATACACTTGACCCTAATTCATAAGTTACTTAAAGTAATAAACAGAATATGCACCAGGTTGTGGTTCATAATTGATTTAATCAAATTAAATAGTGAAATTCTCGTCATAACTTGACATAAAATGAAACTCAATACTTCGGGATTTAAGCTTGAATCTTACACTCAAATCCTCATGACAATTGGAGGCATTTTCAATGTCACATATAAATCACTTACCATTGGTCTTTTATACGT